TTTAACAGAGAGCTTTAGTGGCTTTAGTTACTTGACTTAAAAAAGGGGGGGAGGCCTTCAGTGATTGGAATAATATCTACGTTGAGGGTCGTTTTACAAGAATACATTATGTAAGTCAAGGCAAAAGTAAGATTTCAGAATGAGCAAAAAATAATGGAGAATTCTGGCTTTGACTGTTTGTACATTTGTAGACTTATTTGTTACTAGCGGTTGTCAAGCCTACCTTGAAATGATGCCATCTCTAGATTAAAATCTAAAAGTTTACAGGAAAAAACAAGACAGAGACGAGAAAAAAACAAACATCAGCATTGTTTGACTAGCCAAAAAATATCTTTTTTGGTACATCTCTACAGCTGATCAATTTCCCATCAACGATGTTAGCCAGAGTTGGCTCCACAAAAAGTTAACCCGATTTTTAAAATAAAAAGTAGAAATATTTCAAGCCGTTGAATTTTTTTCTTCATTTGAATGTCAGTCTCTATACTTTTTCTTCTTTGTTCTTATCTTTAAGAATTACGTGTCAACTGATGATGCACCATTATGGACGTTGACTACGATTTTAGCCAGCGTGTCTTTTTCGGATTTCATTCCACAGCCATTGTCCTACCAAGAACAAACTACAAAGGGTTCGAACTTGGGACTTTTCGGTTCAGCGACCATGAGCTTAACCAACCCAACCACGCCGACATAGTGTAACACTTGCAGAAAGAGATAAAGATTGTGAAATCTTCAACTCGATAGCGTTTTCCGTGCTTATTTAAACTTTGGAATTTTAAACTAATTTTCTACAAAGAAACGAAACAATCTGACAGATAAAACGATAACACTCCAAGTTAAAAATTTTCACTCAAGTCAATTAAAAAAAAATATGTTGAGTGGCGAATGTTGACAAGATCAAATTCAGGCGCCGACGCTATTTCGAAATCTGCGCACAATTCCTATCGTCTGCTAAAACTTGTGATATAATCTGTGACCACTCACCCAGGTAGGACACGCGGTACACCTGTACAGAGAAGAAAAGGTGATGTAATTTTTATTATCTACAGATGTCTGAAACATGGGAAATGGGGTTTAGCTAGATGGGAACTGGGTGATTGTTAGACAAAATGACGTCTGTTCTGCTTGGTAAGGACACGTCAGCTAGCATTAAAGTTAGATAACTCTTAAGTACTTATGCTTGTCGAAAGTCTAATTTAGTGTACTATTTTAAGTAGGCCTATTTATGATTGTCTAACGCAGGGGTCTCCAAACTACGACCAGCGGGCCGTATGCGGCCCGCGAGGTCATTTTATCCGTCCGCGACGATCTTTTTGTCCACTGAATAAATGTTTGTTGGAGGTGGCTGAGGAGCTTTGGACAGAAAATTCAAAACTATTAGAAATATTAGCTTTGCAAATACCATTGCCCGCCGTGTTGCAGACATTAGTGAAAACTTCATGCCTCAAACGGCGAAAAATTCAAGCACGTTTTGGTATTTTTCTATTGCAATGGATGAGTCGCTGGGCAGCTGTTCCACCTCTCAACTTCTTGTGTTCATTAGAGGTGTGGATTAAGACCTGAACATAACACAAGAGCAGGCTTCCCTACGTATAATGTATGGCACTGTTACCGGAGAGGATATCTAACCAGATAGTTCAGAGACAAACACAAAATCGCAAGATTTACCATATTTCACATCAGTAAGATTGCTAATTTTGCGAGAAAATTCTGAGCATCTAAGAAAAGAATTAGGTGACTTCCTGATAGTAAAGGCAAGTCACGGCCATTATTGTCTCATGAAGAGTGGGTATAGAAATTGGCCTCTGCTGCAGACATAACTAGTCATTTAAATGTTTAGAACCTAAAGCGGCAAAAGAGTGAAATCCAGTTTCTGATCTATACACCCACCTAAAGGCCTTTAGATACAAGAAGAAATTTTTTTACCGCCCCTCCCGAACGAAATGAAATTTATATAATTTATATAGAAAATATATACTTTTAACAGTGTCCGCCCCCCCCCCCCCCGAAGAAAGTCTACCGCCCCCCCCCCCCCCGAAAATGTCAAGTGCCCCCCCCCCCCCCCCGGAGAAAAAAGTCTGGAAGAAACACTGGCCGGGACAGCTAGTACTCTGTATACGAGCAAGTAAATAGATGAAATAAAGTTTGAATTAACGTAAAAAAATTAAAACAGATTGTTCGAAGAGGAGTCGATAAATTTTAGAGATTGCAACGAACCTAAGATAAAACGAGTGTCATACATTTAAATAAACCGGGAGTGATCTCCCCTAAACTTTCTCGAATATTCTAATATAAAACTACGAGGGATGGCAACTCAGGACATAGACAATATTTGTATTCCATTTTTAATTACTTAAACTTTTTATAATAGAATGGAATCTTGTAAAAAAAAAGAATTGCACACCAAGTGAACGCCTAATAAATGCGCATAATAGTGCGCAATATTATTAGTATTTTATAAATTTACATGCGTTTTTTGAAATATCGGAAATAGCGTACATTAGTACTTCCGGTCAACGGAAATTACTCAAAATTTGACAGAAGGTAGAGAATTAGATCTTTTACTTACATGTGAAATTTCATTTATCTATCTGAAATAGTACTCAAGTTATAGGCTTTTGAAAAATTCAAAGTAGAAAAAGTACCACTTCCGGTTATCGGAAATCGCTCAAAAGTTGATACGGATCTACGATTTTGATAAAATACTTATATATGAAATTACATCAACCTAGCTGTAACGGTACTCAAGTTACCGTGTTTACACACAGACACACACACAGACACAGACACACACACACAGACAGACACAGACATACGGACAGGATTGCAAAATTATGTTTTTCAGTATCAGTGAGGTGTAAAACGTCGAGATTTGTAAAAATCTCGATTTTTTTTGCACGATTACAATACTTTCTCTATACTTCGTATATACGAGAAAGTAAAAATATATAAGGTTTCTGTTATGTAGAGAAACAAGTAACTGTTTTATGTAAATGTCTTTCAATGGCCCCAGCTGTAATTTTGTGTTTGACGTCAACGCATGTTTATACTATCGACTTGAATACAATTTTGTTTGATTAGGGACTAAACAAGGAACTTCATTATCATTTTCCAGTCCTGTTGTCCCTGGACTAATGGCTAAGTTTACTTTGCATAATTACCTCAGGAGAACAGCTGTTTCGTTGATTACATAGTCACCTGCACACCCACGTGACTTATTTTACATTTTGGGGCGATCAGCTAAAATAAAAGCCACGAGTTTTGAGAACACCCCGTCGTTTCAGCATCACCAAAGTGCATTGGCCGAAGTTTGCTTTTTGAAAAACATTACAAGCACACGGTTGCAGTTTTTTGAAGCTCAATCACTCAACCAGTAAGCTTTGGTCTTCTTCTTCATTCTCAGTTTTATTGTTGGGAGTTAAGTTCTCTTCCAAACCTGACGGTTTTTATGGGGCAGGTGCAGTAGAGTTCACTTGTTTCTGTGATCTCGGTATATGAAGGTATAATGTGGTCAGCACTTTGCCCAGCCGCCTTTACTTTCCCTAACGTGAGTTAGGTACTCATCAGAGTTAGGTTGACTAAGTGACGGTCCACTGACTTGAACCCGGATTCGAACTCGAGAATTACGGGTTAGCAATCCAGCTCTCTACCGCTAGACCACTCCGGTTGTTGGCAGGTATATTTATGCACCATTGAGGCCATGGACTCCGATTTCAGCATGCTTTTCTTTTTGTATTTGCTTCCATAGCCTTTGTCCAAGAGTTGTCTCACTTTGATGAGTTGCTGTTCCCAGTTATCGAGCCTCATCTGCCCGAGGGTTCGAACTCGAGAATTTTCGGTTTAGCAACCATGAGCTTTACCGACCACTCATAATTTTCGATTAAATATATTTTATTTAGTATGCAAGCTATAGTCATTCTTTTTTCCATTTCAGTATAACTTTAGAGAGCTTTTGAGCGATTCATATTTCCAATATAGTAAAAGTACATTACTGCTAGCATCAACAATTGTATTAGAAAATTCGCCGCTGCCACTTTTCGAAAATTCATTTAAATTATATTTAAAAAAAATATATATATAAACTTTGTTCAGTTTTAAAAGCTTACTAGGAATTACCGAAAAAAAAACAAATTTATTTCGCTATCATCAGTTTTTTTCCAAACGTGTTTCTCCGACGGGGGACACTAAATAATTTGGGGGTGTAAAGACAGACTAAATGTTCCGGGGGTTGGGGGACGGACAACAGTAAAAGTATGTTTTGTATATAAATTAAATTTTGTTCCGGGGGGGGGGGAGGGTAGGGGATGGTAGACAGACAGACAGACGGACAGACGGACACACAGACACACAGACAGAATGTATGTATGTACGGACAGACGGACATACGGACAGACAGACACACAGACACACAGACATACAGACAGAATGTATGTATGTAATGATGTTCACACAACTGTTGACATCTTTGTGATTTTCGCATTGCATAAATTTTCAGCCCGACCGCAGAAGCTGTGTAATTAACATAAGTAGTCGATACCATTCATTATAGCCAGCTGCAATTAGTTGTTCATCTTTTTTTACGCATCAGATGTTCTAGGAATAATTATACCTAATTTAAATTTACAATTCGAAAAAAACTGTAGCTTCACTGAAGTAATTTCAGCAAGTATTTAAACATGTAATGTTAGTATCCCTACCCATTATAAGCAGTGACAAGAAAAATTGGCGCAAACAATTCTAACAGATAATTGGACTATTTAAAGTTTATAAACTAAGTGCTTTCAAAAACAAAAGATATTTAGTGTAATATGATTGAAAGCAGTTACAGAAGTAATTTAAAAAAAGACCTCGCCTATATACGTTGTGAATACGTAGTGAATGAGTGAAGGGGTGTGAATGGAGGTGAATATTGTTTATAATGTGAACCTTGTCCCATTCGTCCCTGTTCAACCCTCGTGTTGTGAGTTGTGGCAACTTTTTTGTACCTGTTTTCTGTACGAGAATATAAGGTGTGTAAAAAAAATGTGTGCAATGATCTCTGTTTTCGTCCAGATCTCAAACAAGGTTAGTGTAGGTTAGTTCTGTACTAGTATTTAGCCACTGTGTATTAGTTTTTGTAACAGCGTATGTATTTACTGTTTAGAATAGACTGTGTTGTGTAGATAGTGTTTATAGTTTTAAATTATTTTCGTGTTAACGAGCCTTTGTTACATTTAGTCGTGTTTTGTAACCTGTTTGTAGTTGTTTCGTTTTATATGTTGCGTGATGAACTTGATCACCTGTAAAGGCATGTATATGTTTACAATATACAGTTTGTGGCTCCGTCCCTGATTTGAACTAGACAGTTGTTGTGAGTGTCTTGCGGTCTACACATCAAGCTAGATCTAGTCTTGCTATTGTGTACAGTCAGTGGCGTAGCGAGGTCGGGTGTCACCCGGTGCGGCACTTAATGATGTCACCCCCCCCCCAGAGGCGTAGCGACCCTTCCCGGGGACAAACTTTCAAATTTTCGATTTGCACCCCCCTCAAACTTTCGATTTGCACCCCCCCTCAACTTTTTCTCCACATATTTTGCTATTTTTGCCTTGGTGTCACCCCCCTAAATGGTGTCACCCGGTGCGGTCCGCACCCCCCGCCCCCCCCCCCCCTCGCTACGCCCCTGTGTACAGTGACTTAGTAGTGTCGTTATGCTTAGGTCAATATGGACACTAAAAAGACCGAGAGAGTGGAAAGAGATCTCTCTCGTGAAGATCATAGAGAGGGAGAGGCAACACGCTCTCTATCTGAAAGATAAAGATGCGTTAATGCAGTTGGAATTGGAGATGTTGAAGTTATAAAAGGAAAGGAAGCCCATTCCAACCTACGATGCGGTGGCTAAGAAAGGATGATTGTTTTGTCCTATATGATGCGTAACACTGGATCACCCGTAAAGGCGGGTCCGAGTTCACATCACATCACATCACACACACATACACATATATATATATATATACATATATATATATACATATATATATATATATATATATATATATATATATATATATATATATATATATATATATATATATATATATATATATATATATATATATGTATATATATACATATATATAACTTTATTATTTTAACTTTATTATTACATTTTTATTTTATTAATGTGTTATTTTTTAACTTAGTATCTTTGCAGTTGTAATTTAGCTTGAATCGAGGTGCGAACTGGTAGTTAAAATTTAGGCTATCCATCACCTGCACCTATTTTATTTTTACAAAAAAAAAAGCACTGAACACACCAATGTTTACACGTTTGAATATGTATATGTATGTTAATTGATTGATCGATAAGGCTTTGACGCCATTAGTTGATGACCTTAAGCGACTAGGGGAACAATCGGGTCTAAGAAGAGAGATTGAGGTAAAAGGCTTAATAAGGGTGGAGTCAGAGGCGTAGCGACCGATCCCGACGCCCGGGGACAAATTTCGATTTGCACCATTCCCCCCCCCCCTCAAACTTTCGATTCGTTTTTCCAACCCATTTTTCCAACATATGTCCTCCCCGCCTCCTCCTCGCTCCGCCTCTGGGTGGAGTGGTCGTAATGGGAAAAAGCGTCGTCTAGTAACTGTTAAATTCAACCCAATAGATACAGCTGGTTTGAAAACGAATGATCGATTGAACTTTAATTAATATTTTACGAGTACATTTTTAATAAACCTTTCTCAAATCTATCTATATATTTCAATTTGGTGTTGCGTATTATACGATGCAAATAAATATCAGTTATTGTAATTCCGAATCAATCTGCATACAATGCAAATAAATCTGAGTTATTGAAATTCCTTATTGTGTACAGTCAGTGGCGTAGCGAGGTCGGGTGTCACCCGGTGCGGCACTTAATGATGTCACCCCCCCCCAGAGGCGTAGCGACCCTTCCCGGGGACAAACTTTCAAATTTTCGATTTGCACCCCCCTCAAACTTTCGATTTGCACCCCCCCTCAACTTTTTCTCTGGATCACCCGTAAAGGCGGGTCCGAGTTCACATCACATCACATCACACACACATACACATATATATATATATATACATATATATATACATATATATATATATATATATATATATATATATATATATATATATATATATATATATATATATATGTATATATATACATATATATGTATATATATACATATATATATATGTATATATATATATATATCAGTTTATTTAAGTTTCAGACAAAATGAATGAGGAAACGTCTCAGCAAATAGTGAAACAAATGTACAAAACGTTGATAGAAAGCTTGACATTGGACACCCGACTGAACATCGAGGCTGTACCGTCCTACGCCATTGAGATCCTCTCAAAGATCAGCCCACGTTCCAGGAAAACGTAAGGGTATCCTATGGCAACGTTAAGTCAGTTGATCGAAATAAGTGTCGCTTAGCACTAAGAAGGTTTTGAGTTCTTGATAGTGTTTAATGTATCAATACGGAGACGGATGAAACTTCGTTGCTTATAACTCTTAAACATGCATTTTTCATAAACATGCATTTTTCATAAATATCCTGAATGTTTTTGTTTTTTTAAAAACTCCAGCTATGACGGTTCAGCTATTTTCATCCCCGATGCCATCGAGGGCGCCCGTGTGTTGGACATTGGCTGTGGAGGTGGAAGTCTGTCTTTTGTTTTGTCCAAGCTCGTTGGTCCAGCTGGATACGTCGTTGGAGTTGATTTTTCTGAAGACTTCGTAATGTGTTGTTTTACGGTGTAACTTTTTTTACACGTACACGCACACGCACACACAAAGCATAGCTACGGCTACGGCTACAGCTACGGCTACGGCTACAGCTACGGCTACGGCTACGGCTACGGCTACGGCTACGGCTACGGCTACGGCTACGGCTACACCCACGGCTACGGCTACGGCTACACCCACACCCACACCTTTTAGTTTTCCGAAAGACCTCTAAAACCAGATTGGTGAAGAAACAAGAGTGTTTATTCTTGAAATACTAGATATTGATTTAATGGTATTTTAGACTTGGTTTTAATTTTTTTTTTATTACACGTTTAGGATTATAAAAATTAGAGGTTAAAGCTATTGGTTCTAAATACAAATTTTCGTATATCAATTCCGATACACATTTTAATGCTAAATAATTTAATGAAGTCCATCTTTCAATCAACCCTGCATAAATAAACGTTTTTTAAAGCTTTTTTAAAATCTAAAATGTGTTTTGGACGGAGTTTCGCACTAGTGCCTACAAAATACCTTCGGATATTCGGCAACTTGGGAAAAAGGCCGACGGGCCATTGACGGGATATTGTATTTACTAAATACGTTATCACATATTGTACACATGTTATTATTAAATTTACAGATCCAACTCTGCCAAGAAGAGACAGCCTACCACATGAAGGAATGGGGCTACAGTAAACCCAACTGTGAGTTTATATGCTCGGATGTCGAGAAGTTACTGGACTTTCAACTTGAGCCCTTTGATGTGATCGTGTAAGTAATTATCGCATGCATTGTTAAACATCACAAATATATTTTTTATGTAAATGTCTTCAATAAACGACATAATGGAGTGTATAATTTTACGAAATTGGTGAAAATGAGTTATAAGCATAAAAATTTGAGGGGGTTGGGGTGGTGTTTGTGAGAATTGAAAATTTTTAAGTAGCATAAGATATGTATTTATTTTGATCTACAGTTCAAATGGACTCATGTGTTTGGTTCACAACAAGGGGAAAGTAATTCAGATTATTTCTCGTTTACTGAAGGTAACTCTAAAAATCTTTTTAAAAAAATGCTATACTATATTGTCTAAAAAATTTACATTTAGCATTATGTTCAATTAAGTTAGTCTCATATACGATGAGTAAAATTGTTTTTATAGGAAGGTGGAGAATTCTACAACAGTGATATCTTCTCTGATACTAAGCAGTGTGAGGAGGTCAAAGCGACTCCACTTTTTTGTTGTAAGTACATCATTATCTATATATATAATTCTCTTCTGGGAGACGCTAGAAAACAAGCTGTAAACGCGCTCCCTACCATCCCCACCCCAACATGGTCTGGTGAGCTGTGGTTCACTCTAAATGTTTACAAACAGATCCGGGTTTAGTGATGACTATTAGGGGCAGATAATTTAGTTTGAAACGATTTTAAACGTAGGGGGAGGTATCTAAGTGGAGTTTACTTTAACGGAGGGGGGGGGGGGCGGGGGGGGGGGGGGGGGGGAGAAAGTTATCGTCCTTAACGAGCTACTTATAGTGTTTTAAAGAAATATTTTCAGTGGCAGCGTTGGTAGTGTCGAATTCACAAATTATGAATAACTGAAAAGTAGAAAAAACAACAACTAAATAGCGGCGTATGATATGCCGCGGGTCGGCTCGTACTACTTAAACATAGCCTGTGCTTTTTTTGTGACGGTACACGCCGGTACGGTGTACCGGCACCTTTTTCAATATGGGGGAAACATTTAATACTTTTCTTGTATTTTAACTTTATTATTACATTTTTATTTTATTAATGTGTTAATTGTTAATTTAGTATCTTTGCAGTTGTAATTTAGCTTGAATCGAGGTGCGAACTGGTAGTTAAAATTTAGGCTATCCATCACCTGCACCTATTTTATTTTTACAAAAACAAAACACTGAACACACCAATGTTTACACGTTTGAATATGTATATGTATGTTAATTGATTGATCGTTAAGGCTTTGACGCCATTAATTGATGACCTTAAAAGCGACTAGGGGAACAATCGGGTCTAAGAAGAGAGATTGAGGTAAAAGGCTTAATAAGGGTGGAGTCAGAGGCGTAGCGACCCATCCCGGCGCCCGGGGACAAATTTCGATTTGCACCATTCCCCCCCCCCCCCCCCCTCAAACTTTCGATTCGTTTTTCCAACCCATTTTTCCAACATATGTCCTCCCCGCCTCCTCCTCGCTCCGCCTCTGGGTGGAGTGGTCGTAATGGGAAAAAGCGTCGTATAGGTAACAATTAAATTCAACCCAATAGATACAGCTGGTTTGAAAACGAATGATCGATTGAACTTTAATTAATATTTTACGAGTACATTTTTAATAAACCTTTCTCAAATCCATCTATATATTTCAATTTGGTGTTGCGTATTATACGATGTAAATAAATATCAGTTATTGTAATTCCGAATCAATCTGCATACAATGCAAATAAATCTGAGTTATTGCAATTCGTTACCAACCTGAATACAATGTAAATAAATCTGTTGTTAAAATTCCTTATCAACCTGCATACAATGTAAATAAATCTGTTGTTAAAACTTCTTATCAACCTGAATACAATGTAAATAAATATGTTGTTAAAATTCCTTATCAACCTGAATACAATGTAAATAAATATGTTGTTAAAATTCCTTATCAACCTGAATACAATGTAAATAAATATGTTGTTAAAATTCCTTATCAACCTGAATACAATGTAAATAAATCTGTTGTTAAAACTCCTTATCAACCTGCACGTTTCTATCCCAGGCTACGGACTCAGTGGTGCCATGGTGTGGTCTGACCTGAAAGAGTTGACAGGCCCATATGGGTTCTCAGACCCTTACCTGTTGTACGCCGCTGACACCTTCCAGTTTGGCACCGAGAAAAACAAGCTGGATCTAAGTGGGTGACGCCCATCTATGTACTTTGGCTAGTTGTTTTTTAGTTCAATTTCCATACGGACAATTGCGTTTATTAACTCGTCATTTCTGGATGGATGGATGAATGAATGAATGGATGGATGGATGTGTGTCCGCAGCTTCAAGTAGTATCTCCTCCTCAACGAAGCAATATCGAGGACTAGTTCCAAAGCAAATATGTTAAGTAAGTTCCGACGATGATTGTGGGCCAAAAAAATTCCCGGAATTCCTTCCTGGATTTCCCGGAAAAGCCAAAAAACCTCGAACAAATGCAGTTTTTGCTCCATATCTCGGCAACCAGACCACTTAGCGACTTGAAACATTTACCAATCGATTCCTGCCATAATTTTTTTTTAAAATTTCTTTAGCAACAACAGTAAAAAGATAACAGTTAATCGGACTTAACTAATATTTATAGTTCTGAATATATTCGCAGGCCTGATAAGGTAATAAATGCGAACATAATATTCAACGTTATTTGTTGTTTAGAGAGATGTTTAGTAGAAACGTTTAATTAATGGGTAAAAAGCTACATATATTTGTTTGTAAATGTAAGCATAATGTAAAAAATACAGGAGGAGTTAGCTACGTGTGTGCTGTATACAGACTCATAAAGCTAGTCCCCGAAAGTACTGGACAAGGAGCCATAGTGTCCTACAATGGGAACTATGAAAAAAGCCAGGACTTTTTAAAATGGGATGTTGATACGATATTCAAGGTATTTTCATTAAATCATCACTTCCTTATCGAATTGCCTAACATTTTAAAGCTTGAAATATTTTGAATCAATTGAATTAACGATGCTACAAAAAACAAAACAAACAAAAAAACACACAAATACTGCAATTCTCTCTATCAATGTAACAAAATATTATTTTTCCAGAAAGATGTCCCTATAAAGATTGATGGATATTTTGCAAGCCTCTTGGCTAAAACCAAATTCGCAAGATTTTTTACTTTTGAAAAATATGAAGGGCAGCTTATTTCAAAGAGGGTAAACAAGGAATTTAAAAAAAAACATATTCTTTTGAACCTATATTTATGACATTTAGTTTAAAAATTAATACAATATCATATTATACACAAAAGGTATACATTTTGAATCAAGAATATACATTCACTTTAAATGTTATTTTCAGAACCAGAATCCATTCTCCTATTTAAAAGAATTGCGTGAAAGTGGATCAGCCTATCCAAAACCAATTTTTCCTATGGTAAGTGTAATTGCAATTGTAGGCTATATAGGGAAGAATGATTGGATAACAATATGCGTGGCTGTAAAATTGCAATTATGATTTAATGATTGTAGTAATTAAATTAGATGTAGTAGAAATGTAAACACAATTTCAAAAACTCACCCTTTTCAATGTTTTTATAATACAATCACATGTGCTCTATTTTATATCATCTATATTGTATTAAAGTTTGTGACTGATTTTTTTTTCAGGATGAAGAACACAATAAATATTATGAAGATGCAATTAAAAGCGTGATTTGAGAAAACTTGATGTTATGAAATTTCCTTCAAGTTTCGTAGTTAATATTTCCTGATCTTTCTTCTTTATATGGGAGACGACTCGAAATTAATGTGAATTTTATATTTTCTTAATTTAGCCTATCTTTCAATTTATTTAAATACATATTAACCATAATGCATTTACTGTTTTTAGTTTTAATATAACACAATGTTTTGATGTTCTTCTACGCAAAATGTACGAGATAAAATTATACTTAAATATCACTTCACATCATTTTCGATTTTATTTTTGTTGAATAAAAACAATTATAATCGTGCGAATCTGAATTCAATTTACTTTCCAAAAGTTATTAGTATAAAACAAATAAGTAGGTTGTTTCAGTGGCGTAGCGAGGTCGGGTGTCACCCCCCTAAATGGTGTCACCCGGTGCGGTCCGCACCCCCGCCCCCCCCCTTCGCTACGCCCCTGGGTTGTTTTACATTGGACTATGGCTCATACTTTTCCAAAATATCTTTTAAAAATAAGGATAAAATGTATCAAACAGACTTGTCTCCTTGCCTACTGTTGTTAATGTTATTGAATAAATTAAAATTAAATTGAAATTGTCCCAGTGTATTGTTGATGTCCTGTAGCCTGGCTTTGACAAGACTACAACATATGCGGAGTGGATGTAGCTGCTCTTTAGGCTTACCTCATGATCTATAATTTAGTGCAGGGGTCTCCAAACTACGGCCCGCGGGCCGGAATCGGCCCGCGATGTCCTCTCATCCGGCCCGCGGAGATCTTTTTGTCCATGGAAAAAACGTTCGTTGGTGATTGCTAAGGAACTTTGCCCAGAAAAATCAAAGACATGCCTGGAAGAAACTGGCCCCCGAAATGAATTTTTATAGTTAATGCGGCCCTCGGACTGAAAAGTTTGGAGACCCCTGGTCTAACGTATTTGCGTGTAACTTAAGTCTAATTTATTCACAGTCCTAAGTATTTGTATATAACTTAAGTCTAATTTAGTGTTGATTCTCAAATGTGTTCGTAAGAAAAAGAATTTAGTCTAGATTCTCAAGTATTTGTATATTTCAAGTTATTAACCAACAGATTTGCTACGAACATTTCTGTAGCGAATGTTCCCATTTCCAAGACTAGCCAGGTACCAATTAGAGCTGAATATTTAAATGAACCAATTTATATTTACTAACGTTAGGGAAAGTAAAGACGACTGGGTGTAGAACTGGGCATACTACTGACCACACTATCCCTTCATATGCCGAGGTAAAATAAAACAGGTGAACTCTACTTCACTAGCTCCTTAAAACCATGAAGTTTGGAAGGGAAACTTTACTTTTTAGACGTCGTATCCATTTTTTCAAGGTTTACCGTGAAGGACCAGTTTGTAGGCGGGCGGTGACTCACCATGTCCATCCAGCCACGAGGGCTAATTTTTAAATTGTCGTCTGCGTGGCATAATGTGGTCAAATTACAGCACGCGATGTGGCTAATTCAGCGTCCACACGACTTGTTAGTGTGGGGAAAAAAAATCAAAAATTTAAATTATTCAAAATTAAACGGTCGATTAAACGAAAAAAATTATTCACGCTGGAAGAAAATCTGTTAATTCTGTTTTCAAAATTTATCTTGGCGATTTTAAACACGCTATTATTAATTGGCAAGAAAGACGTTAGTTTGAAACATTACGTATTTGTTGGGTTGTAATGTGTTATGTGATAAGTTAATTAGACACACAAAAAGAAAAGCAATAATTTTGTTCAGCAGTTAATGAAAACGTTTTAAAATAAATTGGTTTGCGAGGGGTTTCAAAAAGAAATATTTAATCGTTTTAGAAGGTTTTAATTTAAAAAAAAATGAAAAAGAAATTTCGCGTCGTATAGGCCGGTTTAGATCACGTGATGGACTTTTTTTTAAGGTTTCATTTTTATCGCCCTTGACCTCTGAGTCACGTGGTGTAGTCCGCCATGCTGGTCACGTGAGATAACATTGCCAGGCGCTGGGGTTGTGTTTGCCTGCAGGGGCAGTAATTACAGTTTTCTCGACTTCAGTCCGTCGATGGCTTCGTTCTGACATAAAAGTTTTCTTAACGGGCAACTATCGGGTTGGGGGTGAAAGGGTGGGAGGGGGGGGGGGTGAAAGGGTGGGAGGGAGGGGGGAGGGTAAAAGGAACAGCCAATTTGTTGTTTCGTTTTAACCTTTTTGTAAAAGTTCAACTGTTTTGCTTGTGACCTTTGTGGGAGATAGCGAACAAAACAAAAAAACGACGGAAATCGTTGAGACAAAGTTCTACCTGAGGAAATAGTTGCAGAGTTTCAAGGAGACATTGTAGTGATGGTGCTTGACTCATTACACTGTAATAAAACATCGTTTTTTATTCGTCTGAGTAGAAATGTTGTTGGGATCAATTTGAAAGTAGCTGTGGTTGTTGTTCGTGTGATGCTGTAAGGGGAGATAATTGATGATGGCTGCGGGGGGGGGGGGGGGGGGGTGGGGGGGGCAGAGGGGCTGGGGAGGGTGTATGAATATCTGTAATTCTAGTATCGCTGGCAGGGGTTCTCAAGTATCTGTTGTGTTGTGTGATATGCCATTTCTCTTCTGTCACCTGACATGTCATTTCTGGTGTGTCATTCGACGTGTAATTTCTATTGTGTCATCTAACTTGTCATTTCTGGTGTGTCATTCGACGTGTAATTTCTATTGTGTCATCTAACTTGTCATTTCTGGTGTGTCATTCGACGTGTAATTTCTATTGTGTCATCTAACTTGTCATTTCTGGTGTGTCATTCGACGTGTAATTTCTATTGTGTCATCTAACATGTCATTTCTGGTGTGTCATTTGATATGTCCTTCCTGTTGTGTTATATGACGTCATTTATGTCGTGTCATCTACCAAGGCATTTCTGATGTTATCTAACTTGTCTTTTTTGCTGTGTCATTTGAACTCCCTCCCTAAAACCCTCTCTGTCTACCTAAAACCCTCTCTGTTTCCCTAAAACCCTCTCTGTTTCCCTAAAAGTCTCTCCTTAAAGCCCTCTCTGTCTCCCTAAAGCCCTCCCTAAAACCCTCTCCCTAAAACCCTCTCTGTTTCCCTAAAACCCTCTCTGTTTCCCTAAAAGTCTCTCCCTAAAACCCTCTCTGTCTCTCTAAAAATCTTTAAAAGTATGACCAATCCAAACATAAGGCAAAGATAAGAAAATGTTTAAAAAGGAAATTCTTTTGTACACAATCATGATCTGTGATGCTGATTTGGACTCGTGGTCAAGATGTTCTTTGTATTCGTTATTTTGGTGGTCCAGACGTCCTTTGTGTTGGTTATTTTGGTGGTCAAGTCGTCTTTGTATTGGTTATTTTGGTGGTCAAGACGTCTTTGTGTTGGTTATTTTGGTGGTCAAGACGTCTTTGTATTCGTTATTTTGGTGCTCAAGATGTCCTTTGTATTGGTTATTTTGGTGGTCAAGACGTCTTTGTATTCGTTATTTTGGTGGTCAAGATGTCCTTTGTATTGGTTATTTACAGTCATATTGTTGTAAGATGTATGTTTGCTTCTAATAGATTTATGTGATGTGTGAAATTGATTGTATTTGTTATTACAGTCATACAGTTGTAAGTTGTTTCTTTGCTTCTAATGGAATGTAAATGTAGGCTGTGGCTTTAAATTAATTCAGATGTCATTTAACATTTTAACGATGAAAATAATTTTCTTTGTGTGTGGAAGTCACAGGCGAGTGCTCAAAGTTTGTTGGGAAATTGTTACTTTTTATTTTTAAAATGTTTTAAACAAACTTAAAAAAAATCGGTTCTGGTAAAAAAAAAAAAAAAAAAATTCCCCGTTTTTGAAACAATTTATTTGTTTTCCATGGCCAATTAAACTTCAGAAGAAAATTAAAACAAGCCGTAATAAATTGTTTAAAAAAAATAAATCCCAACATGTTAGTTAAAAGGGAGCGGCGTGGCCTAGTGGTAGTGCGATTGACTGCTAGCCCGATTATCTCGAGCTCGAATCCGGGTTGAAGTCAGAAGAACGTATCTGAGTCCACTCAGCTCTGATGGGTACCTATCTCACGTTATTGAAAGTAAAGATGGCTGTGAAAAATGCTAACCGAACAATATACCGAGGTTAAAAAAACATGAACTCTACTTCATCTGCCCAATGGATCGCTAGGTCTAAAAAGAAATCTTTACATTATGTTAATAAAAGCGTCGTGGGTTCAAGAAATCGCTTCAAATTACTTTTAATAGTACAACATTTTATAATAATCCGCCATTTCTAACATGGGAAGTAACCAATAAAATAGCAATTCAATGACCGATTGTGGGCCTTTGTCTTTCTGTGCAATTTTTTCCTCGTACACTTTCTTTCCTTTTTTTTTTCTTTTTGTCTTAAAAAAAAGCTCGTTTGAGAAAAAAATTAGTCATCGCGAAAGCGAAGTTGCGCTACAGCTTCTGTTGATTGCGATAAAAAAAAAATGAATTAAATTCCTTTTTCGCAATTTCTATTACATTGTACATTGGTTCGTTTAATGAGTTAAAAGCCTTGTATAATTTTTTGATCAATTTAATCTAACAAGCGAACATATTTGAGATTGTATGAGGTAAGATACATTTAAATGGTTAAGAATTATTATTTTGATGATAGTTAAAGTCCCGCACTTTATCATCTAGATACAGGTAAGTATTCCCATATTTTATTTTCTAGTTTTTGTGAGTACTTCCTTTTTTTTTTTACATGGTCCTGGGTAGTTTTAACTCTACCACTCACTCACTCACCCTACGCTCCGTACCTTTCTCCCCCCCCCCCCCCACCCCCCCTGCAGACTAACGGTTTCTCATCTGCCCCGTGTGCAGTTGTACCGTGACCCCGCCCCTAGGGGAGGGGCGTCATCACACTGACAGCTGGGGTCAACACCTGTTGGGGGGGTAGACTAGTTGGGAGAGGAGTTGTAGCCCTTGACTGCGGTACTGGAGGGTAGAGTTGTGGGGGAGAAAGTTGTGGGCCTTGGTTGTGCTGGTACTAATAGACAGAGTTGTGGGCCTTGGTTGTGCTGGTACTAATAGACAGAGTTGTGGGCCTTGGTTGTGCTGGTACTAATAGACAGAGTTGTGGGCCTTGGTTGTGCTGGTACTAATAGACAGAGTTGTGGGCCTTGGTTGTGCTGGTACTAATAGACAGAGTTGTGGGCCTTGGTTGTGCTGGTACTAATAGACAGAGTTGTGGGCCCTGGTTGTGGTGGTACTAGTAGACAGAGTTAAGGGCCTTGGTTGTGCTGGTACTAATAGACAGAGTTGTCGGCCTTGGT